CTTGGAACTTGAGCCTTAGAATGAAGTTAAAACGTTCAATGAAGACTCTTGAAAAGCTTTAAAGACTTGCTTGGACTTACTTAATTTCTAAGCTTGACTTCACTTGAATCGGAAACTAACTTCACTTGAATTGAATTATGGATTCAAGAATTTGATTGGTGTTTGTAAGGACCTCATGATGTTTAGGAATGATTTAGGAATGATTTGGGACAACCAAACTTAAGAAAATCTTCGAACACAAATTCTGAAAACAGAGGAGTCCGCGTCCTGTTCGCGACGCGGAGAAGATTTTTGTTCACAGAGGGAACAAGTCCGCGACACGGACTTGTTTCATGTAAGAAGCCCGACTTCCTCCTTCATTTTTTTCCAACTCTAAAACCCTTTTAACTTCAAAGGTTCCAACCCTAAACACTTAGAATCCTTAAAACCCTTTAATATGCAATAGATTTCAACTCAAAAACACAATCCAATCATGTCCCAAACCAACAAGAACTTCTACACAACACAACTACAACTTCAACAACATTAACAACACAACACAACTACAACTTCAACAACATTAACAACACAACACAACTACAACTTCAACAACATTAACAACACAACACAACTACAACTTCAACAACATTAACAACACAACACAACTACAACTTCAACAAAATGGTAAAACTGATCAAAATGATCAGCCTAACACATTTATATAGCCAAAATAAAAGGCTAGGGAAAAGACCAAAATGCCCTTAATGATTCCCGGACGGAATTCCTTGTCAACTGCCCAACTTTCAAAGGGCATATCTCACTCATACGAACTCGGAATCGAGCAAACTCAGTGGCGTTCTCTCAAGAACCCTAACTCTTTCTCTTTTAAAATGGGATAAAAATGATCCAAAATCAGCCTAACACACAATATAACCCCAAAAGAAAAACTAGGGAAGAGACCAAAATGCCCTTAAAATTTCTGGACGGATTCCCTGCCAACTGCCCAACTTTCAATGGCCATAATTCGCTCATATGAACTCGGAATTGAACAAACTCGGCGGCGTTGGAAAGACCATTCCACAAGCTTCGCAACCATAACTGGAAATACTCCTAACTCATCCTGAGCTAGGAGTTACAACTGCTCAAAGTTGGCCAAAATTCACTGATTTCCATACTTAGCAAAATTTCCAAAACTTTAAAATTCTTTCCAAAAATGAAAATTTCCAATTCTAAGCCTCTTCATTTATTTCACATTGCCGGATGTTACACCAGTCCCGCCCAGGGTGTAGGCTCGGGGCGTGACATCCCCAAGAAAAATGACCTAATTCATATTTATATAACTCTCAAAATCTGGACAAACATGCCCTTCCGCTGCCAATTTCGTAGAGCAAAATCGTGGAGACATTCCAATTTTCGTCTCCCCATTTTCATTTCGTGGAGTGAGACAAACTTGTTCCTTTTTCACACTTAGCCAAATTCAAGCTCTTCTATCCTCATAAACAGCTCCACGAAAACTAAACTTGGGCACGATTTTTGTGACTTCTCAATCTTTATTTCTCTTGTTATTTTGCTCCAACTTCCATCTTTTTTTCGTCATTCTTGGTCAAATACTTGATTTCTTTAGCTCCAAGTCCTGAAATTCACCAATTTAAGTTAGTTTAGGTTATTAAATTATACTCAAAGACACTTAAAACTCAAGAAAAAAGGTAATTCATATGTTGGTAATTTGTCAACTTACCACTTATACAAGGCTTATGACATTGACGAAAGAAAAAGAAAAGTCTCTCACATCAAGTTTCTCCAGAAACTCCTCTTTAGAAGATGGGGGTTGCTAAAGCAGTTATTTCCCAACTTCAAGAAGGCTTTTATTGCATTCCTACGCAGAAACAAAAGCACGTGAGAGGGAAACCATTTCCTTTTTTCATAGCAGACAAAGAACAAGAATAGCACAATAATTTTGAAACCAGGTTTTAAGTCTCAAAACCCCAAAAGAATTCACCAGAGAGCAAAGGAAAAAATGGAAGTGTAGAAATACCTAAAAGGTAACGCCATATAGTAGTTTACAAAGAACAAGTAAGACAGACGGAGAGAAAAACAGGGGTGAGCGCATACACCACAGGCAGCGCACATCTGTCAATGAGTGAGTAGGACTTTTGTGTTGTTAAAGAACAATTTCAATGTGTGAGTAGGACTGAGGTTGTCTTAATTGCGTGAATTAAATAACTTGGAAACAAAATAGTCCTACTCACTCATTGACCAATATGCGCTGCCTGTGATGTATGCGCTCCATTTTTCATCTTACCCGTCCTTTTCTTTGTCTCTCTTACTTGTTCTTTAGAAACTAGTATCTGACGTTACCTTTTAGGTTTTTCTACACTTTCATTTCCCCCTTTACTCTCTGGTGATTTCTTTTGGGTTTTTGAGACTTAAAACTTGGTTTCAAAATTGTGGTGCTCTTCTTGTTCTTTGTGTGTTGTGAAAAAAAGAAAATGGTTTCCCTTGCTCGTGTTTCTGTTTTGAGGAGAAATGCAACAAAAGACTTCTTGAAGTTAGGAAAGAGCTGCTTCAGCTGCCCCTCATCTTCTAACGAGGAGCTTCTAGAGAAACTTGATGTAAAGAAACTCCTACAGTATAATTCTGAAGAAATGACTGATCACATTATGAGTTCTATCTCTCCGGTAATGAATACAGGAGATTAGGATAAACCTTGGTGGATGGGCAACTCAAAGGGTTCTTTTTCAGTTAAATCGGCTTGGGATTTAATGAGAAAGAAAAAGGAGAAGGAGGAAACATATGATATGATTTGGATGTAAAGCTTGTCTTTTAAGATTAATTTCTTTTTATGGAGGGCGTGGAAAGGGATGATTGCCACATATGACAATTTAAGGAGAATGAGAATTAACATTGTTTCCAGATGTTGGTGTTGTGAGACACAACAAATGGAAACAATGTCACATCTCTTTCTAACTACTAACATTGCCCAAAAGCTTTGGAAGTAGTTTGCTTCATGAGCAGGTTTGGACATAGAAGGCATAAATTTGATGTAGATGATCAAGAGCTAGTGGTATGTGAAAGCTCTTACAAAACTCAAACATATTTTTAGAGCTATGCTAGCTCTTATTATGTGGAATTTGTTGATGAAAAGGAACCATATCAAGCATGGAGGCCAGTCAACATTTGAAGAGTTGGTATAACAAGTGGAAACGAGCATTTAATAGATGGTGATGGTTAACAATTTAGAGTTCAAAACAACTGGGAAATCTTGGCCTGAAATGGTGAAAATAATAGGAGCTTATAAGCCAAGGATTTACTACCAGATTGTACAATAGAAGCTACCGGAGGAAGATAAATTGAAGTGTAATACAGATAGTGCGAGTAAAGGAAATCCAGGGGAGAGTGCGTATGGTTTCAGCATAAGAAACAAAACTGGAGACCTCATCTGTGCATAATCAGACGGAATTGGTATTGCTACGAACATAGAAGCGGAGGCAAGAGCAATACAAGAGGCCTTAAGGTTTAGTGCAATAAATAGTTTACAAAACATAGTTATTAAAACTGATTCACTCACTCTAATTATTCAATAGACATGGAGAATACCATGGGAAATTGAAGAAATCATGGATGAAATAATTAGAGAAGTACAACAACAACATGTTACAGTTCAATATATATTCAGGGATGGCAATCAAATGGCGGATTATTTAGTTAATATAGCAATCATTAGCACAGACAAAAAGGAATTAAGAGAGTTTGCGGAATTACCAACAACATGAAAGAGCATCATTAATATTGACAAAGCACAGATGCCATCCATCAGGATAAAAACAAAAAAAGATAAAACCATATGACAAGTCAGAATCAGGTTCTCAAACAGGCAGGGGTAAAACATCATCTCTAACAAGAAAGCATGGAGTTCAGTTCGAACCAAAGTAGAAGAGCGCTTGAAGCACAAATTCAACCGGAACAATTTTAAGGAAGGAAAGAAAATAAAGCAAGGTCAGATCTAAAAGGGGGAAAGTGCAATCCTAAAGAAGGAGAGAAGGAACCTATGTTCATATTTCACACCCCAGATAGCTACCTCCAAGATTCCCACACACCGGTGGACTTCATAGTACTTCACAAACAAAGGCTACCACAGATCAAATATCAAGAAATGGAAAATAAGGCGAAAGAAAGGAAGGAAGAAGAGTTACCTTTCAGTAGTGAATGCTCTTGAGTGACCTGCAGAAAGTGGAGGAAGAGTGGAGCAAGAAGGAACCAAACCCATAGGAGAAGACGGCGAAGCTGGAGGTTCTAACGGCCGCCGGATGGGAGCATATGGATGACAAGGATAAAAGGAAAGTGAGAATGAGGCGGAAGTTTATAAGGTTACTTTCTGGGCTGGATTAGATATTTTCTTGCCTTTTATTTCTTATTAGGGTCGTTTGGCCAGACCAATTTTGCTTGTCAATTAATAAAATGGCCACGGGCCCAACAAAAATTTGATTAAAAAAAATTGCGAGGATATGATCAGAAGTATTAATAATTGCTATGATATCGTTGTTCCTACGATATTTAATTGTAAATTATTTGATCTTTCTTGTATGGCTTTGAATTGTAGATTCATTTTTTTTATTGCTGAAGTTGTTGAAACGAAATATTTACCACCATTATAAATTATGGTATCCTTTACAAATTATGGTATTTTAATTGTAGGTTTCATATATAATCAAAACAAAACGTTACAATCCATTATAAATCAAATTGTATATATTTACCACCATTATAAATTATGGGTATCCTTTACAAAATTATGGTATTTTAATTGTAGGTTTCATATATAATCAAAACAAACGTTACAATCCATTATAAATCAAATTGTATATATTTACCACCATTTATGGATAATATTGATCTGAAAATCAATGCTAGATCCAATTCAAGTGTCACCCTTCCGAGCAAGAAATGAATATATAGGGCTAAATCTAGTGTTTGCAACCTCACAAATAAGACTGTAAACGAGTAGATAATCACAACCCAAATAATAATAAGCAAGATAACCTAGTATTCAATCACATAAAAGTCTACAACTAATAGGTTTAGCTACTCATACTAGAAGAAGAAAATACAATATAATAATAAACATAGTTCAAGATTAAACAAATAAGAAGATGCAAACTCTATAGTGAAAATCTCTTAATCCTTGCAAAGTTAACTAGAGATACTCCTCCTAGACTGCTCAAATCAACAGCTCCCCAAGAAAAATGGTCTAATATATATTTAAATAACTCTCAAAATCTGGACAAAGATGACCTTCCGCTGCCAATTTCATGGGGCAAAATCGTGGAGACATTCCAATTTTCGTCTCCCCATTTTCATTCGTGGAGTGAGACAGACTTGTTCCTTTTTCAGACTTGGCCAAATTCAAGCTCTTCTACCCTCATAAACAGCTCCACGAAAACTAAACTTGGGCACGATTTTTATGACTTCTCAATCTCTACTTTTATTATTCTTTTGCTCCAACTTCCATTTTTTTCATCATTCTTGATCAAATACTTGATTGCTTGACTTCTTTAGCTCCAAGTCCTGAAATTCACCAATTTAAGTTAGTTTAGGTTATTAAATTATACTCAAAGACACTAAGAACTCAAGAAAAAAAGGTAATTCATATGTTGGTAAGTTTGTCAACTTACGTCTTATACAAGGCTTATGACATTGAGGAAAGAAAAAGAAAAGGCTCGCACATCAAGCTTCTCCAGAAGCTCCTCTTTGGAAGATGGGGATGCTGAAGCAGCTATTTGCCAACTTCAAGAAGTATTTTGTTACATTCCTACTCAGAAACAGAAGCACGTGTCAGGGAAACCATTTCATTTTTTCACAGCAGACAAAGAACAAGAAGAGAACCGCAATTTTGAAACCAGGTTTTAAGTCTCAAAACCCCAAAAGAATTCACCAGAGAGCAAAGGAAAAAATGGAAGTGTAGAAATACCTAAAAGGTAACGCCATATAGTAGTTTACAAAGAACAAGTAAGCGAGATGGAGAGAAAAGAAGGGGTTATATGAAAAATGGAGCGCATACACCATAGGCAGCGCACATCTGTCAAATAGCCTACTCACTCATTGACATATATGTGTTGCCTATGATGTATGTGCTCCATTTTTCATTTAACCCATGCTTTTTCTCTTTCTCTCTTACTTTTTCTTTAGAAACTAGTATCTGACGTTACCTTTTAGGTCTTTCTGCACTTCCATTTTTCCCTTTACTCTCTGGTGATTTCTTTTGGGTTTTTGAGACTTAAAACCTGGTTTCAAAATTGTAGTGCTCTTCTTGTTCTTTGTGTGCTGTGAAAAAAGAAAATGGTTTCCCTGGCTCGTGCTTCTGTTTTGAGGAGGAATGCAACAAAAGACTTCTTGAAGTTGGGAAAGAACTACTTGAACAACCCCCCATCTTCTAATGAGGAGCTTCTAGAGAAACTTGATGTGAGAGCCTTTTCTTTTTCTTTCCTCAATGTCATAAGCCTCATATAAGTGGTAAGTTGACAAATTACCAACATATGAATTACCTTTTTTCTTGAGTTTTAAGTGTCCTTAGTATAATTTAATAATCTAAACTAACTTAAATTGGTGAATTTCAGAACTTGGAGCTAAAGAAGTCAAGCAATCAAGTATTTGATAAAAAATGATGAAAAAAGATGGAAGTTGGAGCAAAAGACTTCTTGAAGTTGGATATTATCATAACAACAGTGTATGCGAGATGCAGTGGAGTAAAGAAATATATGGGAATATTTTTGTGACGATAGCCACTTTGGAGGATATTGCTAATGAACCCTTCAATGGCAAATAAAGAGGATTTAGCTAAAGTTGAAGATTCTATAAGACAATATAATCAACTAGAAGAGAATTACTAGAAACAAAAGAATGGGATGCCATGATTCAAAGAAGGAGAAAGAAATACGAAGTTTTTTCATTCATATGTGAAAGGCATGAGGAAACCGATGATTAACGAAATTTAGACAGCGGGGGATACGATACGTACCACTCAAAACATAGGAGAGAAAGTAGTTAATGTTAGAGAATAATTTAAAGAGGGTCAATGATATGAGGATCAAGCAATGCTCGAAAGAAGTATAACTACAAAATAGAATATCGAAATGACAAGAGCGCCTACAGAGGAAGAAGTTAAGGAAGCAGTGTTCAACTTGAATAAAGTGAACATATGTGGGCCTAATGGATTTTTAGAAGAATTTTTTCTAACATGTTGGGAGATTATAAAGAATGATATAAGGCTGATGGTGATGGTTATTTTTTGTGGTGGGGAAATACCAATATATTTCTCACACGAATGTAGTTCTAATTTCGGAGAAGATCAAATTTATGATCTATCAGCTTGAGCTCTTTTGCTAATAAGATTTGTCAAAGGTACTGCATGAAAGAATAATTCGGGTTCTGCCTAAATCAGTCGGGGTTTATGAAAGGAAGAAGTATTGTTGAAAATGTTTTACAAGGGCAAAAGATAATTAGAGACATAAACAAGAGGAATGAATACCATAACGTTGTGGTGAAGTTGGATATGACTGAAGCGTATGATAGGGTGTCAGGGATATTTTTTATTCAAGTTATGAGAAGATTTTGGTTTGATGAGAGGATTATTTATATGGTGTGGAGATTAATATCTAATAACTGGTACTCCGTGTTAATTAATGGCCAATCTTTTGGTTTTTTCAATCTTCTTGGGACTGAAGCAATGTGATCCCCTCTCCCCCACTTTATTCATCATAACAGCGGAGGTATGTATTAGGTAGAAGTCTCAACAGGCTAAATGAGGATTCAGAATTCAAGAGATTTGGATGCCTAAATGGAGTAGAGAGATTAATCATTTGTCTTATGGGGATGATACAATCCTTTATTATTCATGGCATAAGAGGTCAATGAAAAAAATGATGAAGATTCTACGGAGATTTGAATATGTGTCAGGGCAGCTCATAAACCTGAACAAAAGCTATGTATATCTGCATGAAAAGGTTCCTTCTTCAGTTTGTCAGAAGATTAAAAGAACTACTGGAATCTCACAAGGAGTCTTTCTTTTTACGTATCTTGGATGCCCAATTTTTACGGGAGAAGAAAGAAGTCATATTTTGAAGAGCTGATAAAGAAAGTTGCCAAAAGAGTGATGGGATGGCAGAATCAACTTTTGACTTATGGGGGAATGTATGTTTTAATAGCTCATATTTTACAAGCAATGCCTATTTATCTTATGTCTGCTATGAATCCTCCCAAGGGTGTAATAAATCAGATTCATAAGATTATGGCAAAGTTTTTTTGGGGTCACATAAGAGGAGTAAAAGGGAAACACTAGATTGCTTGGGAAACAATGTGCTTACCAAAATAAGAGGGTTTTAGATCGATGCATGACGTATCAGATGCTCTATTTGCTAAATTATGATGGATATTCAGAACATCCACTAATTCTTTGTGGAGTGAATATATGTGGAACAAATATTGTAAAAAAAATGGCATCCAATAATGGCACAGAGACATGGGGCATCTCATGTATGGAGAAAGATGATTGGACAAAACAAGGGGCATGGTACTATGTGGAAGAAAATAAAAGGGGGGAGAAGGAGCTGGAGGTGAAAAATCTTATTATAGAAATCAGTGGGATAGGAGGAAACTCCTACAGTATATTTCTGAAGAAATGATTGATCACATTGTGAGTTCTATCTCTCCGGTAATGAATACAGGAGATCGGGATAAACCTTGGTGGATGGAAAACTCAAAGGGTTTCTTTTCAGTTAAATCATATTGGGATTTAATGAGAAAGAAAAAGGAGATGGAGGAATCATATGATATGATTTGAATGAAAAGCTTGCCTTTTTAGATTACTTTCTTTTTATGGAGGGCGTGGAAAGGGAGGATTGCCACATATGACAATTTAAGGGGAATGAGAATGAACATTGTCTCCAGTGTTGGTGTTATGAGACACAACAAATGGAAACAATGTCAAATCTTTTTCTAACATCTAACATTGCCCAAAAGCTTTGGAAGTATTTTGCTTCATGAGCAGGTTTGGACACAGGAGGCAGAAATTTGATGTAGATGATCAAGAGCTAGTGGTATGTGGAAGCTCCTACAAAACTCAAACATATCTTTAGAGTTATGCCAGCTCTCATTATGTGGAATTTGTTGAAGAAAAGGAACCATATCAAGCATGGAGGTCAGTCCACCTTTGAAGAGTTGTTACAACAAGTGGGAAGGAGCATTTAATTGATGGTGATAGTTAACAATTAAAAGTTCAAAATAACTGGGAAATCTTGGCCTGAAATGGTGAAAATAATATGAGCTTATAAGTCAAGGATTTACGACCAGATTGTAAAATGGAAGCTACCAAAGAAAGATCAATTGAAGTGTAATACATATGGTGCAAGTAAAGGAAATCCAGGGGAGAGTGCGTATGGTTTCTGCATAAGAAACAAAACTGGAGACCTCATCTATGCAAACGGAATTAGTATTGCTATGAATATAGAAGCGGAGGCAAGAGCAATACAAGAGGCCTTAAGGTTTAGTGCAATGAATAGTTTACAGAACATGGTTATTAAAATGGATTCACTCACTCTAAAGAACATTATTCAACAGACACGGAGAGTACCATGGGAAATTGCAGAAATCATGGATGAAATAATCAGAGAAGTACAACAACAAAATGTTACAGTTCAATATATTTTCAGGGAGGGCAATCAAATGGCGGATTATTTAGCTAATCCAGCTATCATTAGCACAGACAAAAAGGAATTCAGAGAGTTTGCGGAATTAACAACAACAAGAAAGCACATCATTAATATTGATAAAGCACAGATGTCATCCATCAGGATAAAAACCACATGACAAATCAGAATCAAGTTCTTAATCTGGAAAGGAAGGGGTGCAACATAAATAATTACATAAGAGAATGCCCACATAAGGGGGTGGGGGTCATTATAGCTACATTAACAAAGCTTTTACTAATCTACATTAGCACGCAAAAACTTTCACCAAACAGGCAGGGGTAAAACATCATCTATAACAAGAAAGCATGGAGGTCAGCTCGAACCAAAGTAAACGTGTGCTTGAAGCACAAATTCAACTCGAACAGTTCAAAAGGAGAGAAAGAAAAGAAAGCATGGTCATATCTAAAGGGGGGAAAGTGCAATACTAAAGAAGGAGAGGAGGAACCTGTGTTCATATTGCACACTCCGGATAGCTACCTCCAAGATTTCCCCACACTGGTGGACTTCACAGTACTTCATAAACAAAGACAACCACTGATTAAATATCAAGAAATGGAAAATAAGGCAAAATAAAGGAAGGGAGAAGAGTTACCTTTTAGTAGTGAATTCTTTTGTGTGAGCGGCAGAAAGTGGAGGAAGGGTGGAGCAAGAAGGAACCAAACCCATAGGAGAAGACGGCGAAGCTGGAGGTTCTAACGGCCGCCGGATGGGAGCATATGGACGACAAGGATAAAAGGAAAGTGAGAATGAGGCGGAAGTTTATAGGGTTACTTTCTGGGCTGGATTAGATAATTTCTTGCCTTTTATTTCTTATTGGGGCCGTTTGGCCAGACCTATTTTGCTTGTCAATTAATAAAATGGCCACGGGCCCAACAAAAATTTGATTAAAAAAAAATGTATAAATTATAGGAACCACATATTATAAGTACTAAATAACATTCTATCCCTTCTAGTTTTCTATTTACCAAAAATCCCTTAAAATGATGTTTGCGGGATACATTAGGTTTGATACATTCCACATAGCGGGATACATAGTGTTGTGCACGGGATACATAGCGTTGTGCACGGGATACATAGCGTTTGATACATTCCACACAGCGGGATACATAGGTAAAATAAGGGATTTTTGAAATTTTTGAAATAAGTAGGGATAAATGAATATTGATATGATCAGAAGTATTAATAATTGCTATGATATCGTTATTCCTACGATATTTAATTGTAAATTATTTGATCTTTCTTGTACGGATTTGAATTGTAGATTCATTTTTTATTGCCGAAGTTGTTAAAACGGAACATTTAGTATCCTTTATAGATTATGATATTTTAATTGTAGGTTTCATATATAATCAAAACAAACGTTACAATCCATTATAAATCAAATTTTATATATTTACCACCATTTATGGATAATATTGATCTGAAAATCAATGCTAAATAATAATGTACACAAATTTTAATTAATTTGATTATACAAAATAATTGGTAAATTCTTGATTAAACTATGGTGTATATCTTGGTTTAAATTATGTATTTTGTATCATAGTGCACTTTACACCAAAGTTTAATCATAATGTATACCGTTATCTAGTTAAATTGATATTATAACATATTTGGTGTTTTTTGGTAAGGCTATGGTGTCTATCTTGATGTAGACCTTATTAAACTACATAATTAGACATACTTAACTACTATATATACATATGTTACCTATAGTTTAAAAATATTACTCATAATACCACTTTTTAATAATTATACCATATATTTTAAAAAATTAAATCAGATACACAAATTCCTTAAATATGGTATTGAATAATTATCCTAAAATTTAAATCTCTTAATTAAAGGTACTTTAACAATTCAACCTCCTTCAGTCTCCTCCCCCAAAAATATCTCTCCCCCCACCCCCACCCCAGCCCTTACCGGATTCCACCCTCAATCCGAAAAAGAACTCCGAAAATGACAAAACTTTGCGTTTTCATATAACTGCATTATGAATGTAATGTTGTGCACTATCTTCTTGCTTAGAGTGTGATTATATCTTTGGTATAACATTTTAGAAGGCAAAAAGGCAACCACCTTCTCAACAAGAATTTTCTGTACTTCTTCTTTATTCTCTACTTTTTAGGCATTTCTTCTTCTCTGCAATTCTTCCAATTACTTGTTTCAGTTCAATTTACATTAAATACTTCCTCCTTACTCCGACGAGTCGTTGAACGCCGATGAAGCCATGTGCAGGTTTTTACATTATTTGTTTTTGTTGTTTCTCAACTATTTTAATGGTTGACTGTTTACAAAATCAGATGATTCTTGTTAAAGGTTAATTCAAATTAATAAATCGTGTATCTCA